CATGTGCAGCAACATTATTGGCTCGAGTAATTATACGGGAGAATTGGATCGGCGGGATAAAATCGGCGAGTCTGTAGTAGAACTTGTTCTCTTGTGCATCGGAATGCAGTTGGTCAGCGCATATACTGACGATCAGTAAACACCTTTCGGTATTTCTTCTGTTTATGTTTATTGAGCCTCATTGCAAACACAATGCAGTTGACGAGAATCCAGTCAACAAGTGCGGTTTCAGCTCCGTTGTTCAATACAACACCTAACACGCGCTGACCTACCGGACGGGCTTTGTTGTCTTCTGACGTGCGGAAAAAGCATCTCGATAATAGATCTGGCAAACTCGAAGGACCTATACCAGTAGAATCCTGAAGTAAAGTATCTTAGGTAAGCAGCAGACATTGATTGCCAAGGAGTGCATTGTACGCATAAGACAAGCTTGTTAACCCATCTGCATCGTAGTCCTCACGTTCCAGAGACTCAAACTGAGAGATTGACGAGGATTCACAAGTTACAGTTTATTCTATGATGCACCAACACAATGCTATCAGAAAACGAGCTTGAGCAAGCAACACAAGTTGTCTGAGGGAATAATATGGGTCGAAAGCGGAGGCAGGTGGAGAGGGTTGCAGATGGGAGACAAAACATTTAACAACGATTGAGATATCTACTTATTTCGATCGATGAAATGGGCATTGCCATCCTCATTATCCAGTGTGACCACCGAAGTATCATGATATCCATTTAAATTTGTGTTCATATGGGCTTGCACTGTTAAATGAGCGCAACCATTAAGCAGAAGGCTCCTGGTCAAAACCTTTAGTTCTGACAAGAACCTAACCATTAGGCAGCTGATGAGAAGTGGAGGCCCATCTACTTGAACCAATTAATTTTCCATCATTTTCACAGACTGAGATGCTAACTCGGGTCGAACCTTCAACCTGGAGCACCAAGACAATGGACTAAGCCTGACCTCTACCCTCTGACCTTCCAGGTATTATTGGATCTTTTAACTTCACAAAGCCATCCTGCTTAGTACCTTGGGGTACAGAGATGCACAAGCTTCTATATCACGTCGAGGTACAGTATATTCGCGATGAATCTAACGCAATGGAAGCAGTATTTTGTGATTGGGGTTCGTCGATCCTCGGAAGAAAATAAGTATACAGTAAGGTAAACCGGTCAATTATTCGGTTATGGTCCACGACTAAATGTCGTTGATACCGTTCATTTATCGACAAGCCATGGAGTAATAGACGTTTCGACAACAGTTGTGACGCCATTATTTTGTAATAGTGGATTTACACTCCGGTAGTAACTTATCAAAAATAAATGGTGGATTGATAGGAACACCCACACTACAAAGAGAAATAAATGATCTAGTACAAGAGAAAAACCGGAGCTCTTATATCGAAAAATGGAAATGCATACCGGATCCCCGAATGGTAGCATCTCCACGTAGACTGACTGTCTGGGAACAAATCCACACAGGTGACTCCGCTACATGCAACCTAATGCTGAATTCTCCTAATCACGGGAACACCAAATCAACCATCAAACACAAATAAAACACTTGTGTTCTCCATCCGCCTTCTAAAATATCTTTGTCGAAGTATCTTATTTAGACTCTATGCACTTTCTACTGTTCTACTTTATCCATACATTTCGGTCCTAAATCCTATCATAAAGCAAATTACCAGTGTTCTAATGGCCAAATTCTAAAGATAGATAACTCTGGCTCTGGTTAGGCTCGTGGTTCAATACCACGGTTAACTTGGGGGGGACTTATGTGGTTCCCCACTCCAATTCCCGAGACTGAGGGTGCCGGTTTCTATCACTGAACAGCAGGTCCTCGTGACTATGGGGTTGACCCTGTCTGCTGTTCATCACACTAAGGTGTGTAATATAATTTTTTTTAAAATCTTGCTTCAGTGAATCTATTACGCCTTGTCAGCACCTTTTCCACAGGCGCTGCCTGTCCCAGGTCTCCATCTTGCCGTTGTTCTCGATCCGCTACCAGCAGCATCGAAAAAGATTATGCTGCTCACTACAAAGCAACCAATGCTCGTCTTGACTGTATGTTAGCCTGGGGAACAAAAAAAACTGCGTTTTACATCATTCCAAAACCACGATTCCTCCTTATTTATTTACAGGATCATCCCCATCTCCANGACTCTTCAAAATGATTCCACAAATTCCAGCACCCTCCCTTTTCTATCTCTTGCTCTTTTGCTCCCACTGAAACATCAGCCGTTCGTGTCACGCTCAGGATTGGTTTTATATTCCATGCCAGACTATTCTTATCTTCTTCATATTTTCTATTTTTGTGCAATGCATGTGTTTGTTCCAACCCTGAGCTCTGTGGTCACGTGTCGGATTAAGCTCCGTTTTCTCCTCTACCTCCGTCCCGTGATCGGAATTCTATTGATAACGGCCTTCCGATCTGAACTTGGAGTCCCCAACCCATCATCAAGCTATTGCTTCCAAATGACTCTTTTATCGTTATCACAGAGTTAACCCGTCTCATATCGTTTCTGTTGCACCTGTTTATTTGGCTCTCGAAGAGCTATCCTTTATGGGAGAGCGATCGTGCCCAAAGGCCACATTACTGATACTGGTTCGTCCTCTTCCCTCAAGAACTGCAAGATTGTGAGAACTCCTGTATATCATAGTTTCACACACGGTGGTTCAGACCGTGTGCCAAACAATTCATGGTACAATATTTTTTTATAAAAGAACCCCTGTCCGGCTCGGTTTTCCTATAACTTACAGCACCAAACATTTTGAAAGAACAATTATTTTGTACTGTTATCCTCTACTTTCGTATGGGGTTAAATCTGTTTTACTGGTCTTATCAGACCAGAATGCTTGAAATTGTATGTATGCACATTTGGACTGTGTACTCTGTGTGTTGACTATAGAGGTTCGCTTCCTTTTCCTGTCTCTAAAATTAAGTCCAATCCCTATACTATTTACAGTTTCACTTACCTCGTATGCAATGAGTTTGGTAGCGATTAGTGAAGTTCGATTCACTGCATTACGCCGCACAATGATGATGTTTTACCTTACCGCGTATTTACCGAATAAAAGATTTCAGGATTTTGTATCGAACGAGAGAGTTATTTGTTTCGTCTAAATAATAATTGTAGAAATCGAATGAGACTTAATACTACTTGAAATTTCAGTGGTCACAAAGCGGACAAAATCTTATCATAAAATTCTCAATACTAATCATTCAACTTGATTTTCAGTTCCGCTACCATAAAGGTAAATGAATGAATAACCGATTTTTTTAGCCCCAAGTACCTTCTATCATGAAGTTATGCACTGCTGTATCTCTCATTGGACCATATTTCATTTATTTGAGCCACTGTACTGCGGTTGTTAAAAGACTAAAGCTCACGTTCGGCTAGACTCCTATTCTGTTTTTTATTCCACACTTTCGTGTGATGAGCAGCAGACAGGATAAACCCCATAGTCACGAAGACCTACTGTTAAGTGATGGAAACCGGGACCCTAAGCCCCGGTACATGGAGTGGTGAACCACATAAGGCCCCAAATATCACACCTAACGCTTCGATTGGAATGAAATACTGACTTTGGATTATTTTTGCTTAGCCGATGGATTTCCCACTAGCATTTGCTAGCAAAATCTGGCAGTGATTGGTGAAGTTTGAATCGGTGTCCTTCACCGATCAATAACAAACAAACACTAACCCCTAACGGATTGCGGTTTTCACACGTCGCTCGGTTGCCTTGCTGGTCAGACTTTGGCTAGTCGAAAGATGCAGTTTTGAATTCTCCAAGAAAATTCGCCTCCCTTGGCGTGAGCAAACTGGCAGTATTCCGCTCACATGCAAAGCATGGAACTTTTTTCGTTTCATAAAGATCATTGTACC